GGCTGGATCAAACCGTCATGTTCTTGACCCAGGACTGCACAGGCAGCCCACTGATTTGCATGGGGTATTATGACAAACGGTTTAGTCCTGTCACGGTGTCTCAATACCGGAGTCGATACGATCTTGTGTTTCAGAATTTCGAATGCCTGCTTCGCCCTGGATAGATCTCGCCCTGAACGCACTTGGTCATCTGAGAGCTCATACAGGGAGGCGGCAACGACGGGATAGTCTTCGATGAATTTATGATAGTAATTCAGGCTCCCCAAGAAAGATTGCACTCCTTTTAGGGTAGTTGGGAATGGTAAATCCTGGACGCCTTTCGCAATCTTCGGCGTTGCTCTGATTCCTTCAGCGCTAATTTTGTGCGACAGGTACGGAATGGATAATTTCCCGAACTCGCTCTTCGGCAGAGAGATATTCCAATACCGCAGCCTATATAGCAAAGCATCCAAATCAGCACACAGTGCATCCCAAGTGGGTGCGCCATGTGCGATATCATCGATATAAGAGCTGCGCCTTAGGACAGGTGACATCTGGGTTGGGGCAGGGATATTCGTTTTGAACACTGTCATCTGGTCCGCCAGGGTCGGCAACAACCGAGAAGCATGGTCGTTCTCACAACCGCTGCACCCTGGAGTGCCACATCCTGGAGGTCCATCATCCTGGGGGTCTCCAAAACTTCTTGGTCTACTTCCGCCTCCTCTTCTGGTGGCAGTCGCACGAATCCCCACAGGCAATTGTTGATTACTTGCTGGTAGATCAGGGGTGCGTTTTTCAGACCAAACGGCATTCGAATCTACTGAAAATGTCCAAACGGACATACGAAAGCCGAAATCAACTTGGCTCTTTCGGTCATCTTGATTGCCCAGAACCCGCTGGCCATATCCAGGCTCATGAACCAGAGTGTCTTCTCAAAACCGACTAACAGGTCGTCAATAAGAGGTAGCGGGTAGCTAGACAGCTGGATGAAATTATTCCCAACTCGATAGTCAATACACATCCTGATGTCCACTCCATTTTGCTTGAGCA